TTAAATTTGTAGGCCTAGCTATTTCACATTATTTACCTGTTCTAACTTCTTTCCATCTATATATAGATATTCAGACTTTCATTTATCATACGATTTCCTCTGTTTCTTATAAGCATATTTTAGACTTGTCTGCGTTAGTCGATTCTGTTTATACCATTTATTTATAGAATTTATATATGTTTTTTGTAACGAATAGTTAACATCATTAATTGTTTTAACTGTAACATATATACATGTGTCATCAGCAAAGACATTGCAAGCGGCACTATCTACAAACTAAGAAATATCGTTTATGAAAATAAGAAAAAGTATTTGTCCAAGGACCAAACCTTGGGGAATTCCAATTTTCATTAATTCAAATTGAGACTTTTTGCCATTACAATAAACAAATTGTTTTCTATTGAGCAAGCAATTCTGAACCATTTAATTGAGTTTACATCAAAACCGTGTTTTTCAAGTTTGTATAGTAATATTTTATGGTTTATAGTGTCAAAACATTTGGAAATATCATAAAAACATGAGCCAATCATATCAGAATCGTTTGATACTACTCTGAGAAGTGATGTATTTGTAGAATGACCTTTTATAAAGGCAAATTGATCAATATTAATTAAATTATAATTTGTTAGATATTCAACAACCTCTCTTTCATGCAGAATTTAGAAACACAAACTCAATTAATAATAATACTAATAATAATTATTATAATTACAATAGGCGTAATTATAATAGTGATATAATTATAATAATAATGATAAATAATCGACAATGATTTTGATAATAATATTAATATCAATATAGGCCTACTAATATGTGACCGGCTCGGGCAAAACCCTTCGTCTGTAGGAAAAATTCAAAATTGAGTTTGTGTTTGTAAATTCTGCATGAAGTCTTCTTTAAACAGTGTTTATTTGATGGAAATTGGTTGTGTATTACATAAAGTCATTGGATATCAGCGACGGAGGCTTTGTTTTTGATACGTCTCTGAATATGAAGAAATTTACACTATCTACTATCTTAATTCTTATAAAAAAATTCTAATTTAGTTTAAATTAGTAGAAGGCCTTGGGGATTGCCTTTTGATGTCTCCAAATGTAAATCCATGTTTTGTTTCACTTAAATATAAACTTTTATGTTTTTCTTATAATATTTGAGATAATTTTTTTAGATAGTTTCTATTTATTGTTATGTAGTTGCTGTAATTGATTGTGACTTATGTTTGATAAAACCAAGGTAATTCAACAAAAGGACGCACATCTCGGGACATCAAAGGTTATAACTCTGGCATCGACATTCTAGGCGCACGTGCGTCCCTACACGCTGAACGTCACAAAAACCATAGCTACCAGACCATAAACCCTCAGCTTACGTGACGATTTACCCACGCACGTGTTAGTTGCCATGTTAGTCGCGCGTCGTGCGGTGATTACAAAGGCATAATGATATTTTGCACTAACATTAGACTAAAATATATTCTTCATTTCAACATTAATTTTACCAAAATTGTGGTGAATTGTCGTTCATGAGACTCACTTCGCAGAAAAAATTAATAAATGTTCCGTATATACTCAAATGTTCGTCCTCGGCACCTAGATGTGTATAAGAGACAGAATCCTAATTATATAATTAGGCGGCCTACTAATCATTAAAGAAATAAGGCTCGGATCCAGACCTTCGCACCGTTCAGCATGGTGATGGTCTGGTTAAGATAAAACAATAAAAATAAAAAAAATTGATAAAATAAAAATTAAAATTAAAAGTATAAAATTGATTGCAGCACCGGGTGTTATAGGCATACAAGTAAACTCTTTGAACGTTTTACTGAAGACGACGACAGTAAAACATAGCATACCACCGTTGAATTTAATATAGTCCTATATAATATTCTGACTTTGCCTACTTATTCAAGCGGTGCGGTAACAATTGACTTGTTTTTTTTTTATTAGGCCAACGTACTTTAAAGTTTATGGTCTCGGAGAACAATGCCCTATAAAATGACTTTGAAAATAATCTCTTCCTTTTTGTTTGATATTGTTCAAGTTTCTTATTAAGCTTGGCAGCCTTAGTCTAGTCCTAAGTCAGTCTGTCGGATACGCCGTCAAATCGACTATTAAATAAACTTCAATCACAATTAACTGAGTTTCAGAGCATTTATTGAAAATAACACTGGCACCATTACCAATAACACAATACAATCATGTATATGCGGAGCATACAGTAGCTACCATTCGGTTCCTGTTAACATCGGAATTAAACTATAAGTATAGGTCTGTCCCTTAGGCCTGCTGGGCTCTTGAGTGTTAATGACTGAGTTCGAGTATAAATTATAGAATTATTACAGGTCCTACCTAACCAAACACTAGCGGGATTTCCCAATTCTAATTTTGTGGGATCATGGTGGTCGGATGGTCTGCACTTAATTTTCTGTTCCTGAGATCAAAATCTTAACTACAACACGCCTTGGGCGATGTGTCCAAAGATCCCAACCCAGCTATTCAGATAACCACTCGACTTTCAGCATTAGGAAGTGGCTACTATCTATTTCTAACGGGGGTTGACTGCGAAATTTCGCCCCGTGGGGCTAGGTTAATTTCGTCTAGGTTTATATTCGCTAGGCCTACCATATCTTCTTAAATGAGTTATTTGCGTTAACTTTTCATCACAATAGTATAAAATCAATCTATTTGCACGTCACCAGAACCTTAAGAAACTAAATATTTTAAAAGTCACATTGTTTTCGTTATTGAATAAAAAAATATTATTTTATATATATATATATATATATACTGAAATATAAATCAAGGTAGCCGTTAACACTGTTAAATTATATACATAAATCATCAAAGAAAGGTAAATACAGTGTTCGAATAAAGGACATGTATGCTATTATTTTTTTCTAGCCGTACTTATTGTGTAATGGATTGTATCTGGTGTATTTGAATTTGCTTAACCATGAAGCCTCCGTGGTCTAATGGTTATGATGCTCGCCTTGACAGCGAGAGGTCGCAGGTTAGAGTCCCGCCAGAGGCATTTTATTACACAATTTCTTTATTCATTTATTTATAGGACTACATTCGTTGCGAGCTATGCTACTCGATGTATCATTATGTCCTTTATTTGAACACTGTATTTACCTTTCTTTGATCATTTATGTATATATATATATCATATATATTCGTCATATTTTGTGCAAAAATTTCCCTTAGTTGTCAAGGGCTCATGAATGTGTTATGTTTAACGTTTATATCAATTTGCTTCAATAAATTATTAGACTTTAACATTTTTTTAAAGGAAATACTTAAAAAAAAAAAAAACGAAAAGAATTCTGATGGGTATAAAATGACATTATTATTATAAAATTAATAATCATTTCTTATTAGCATAAATTACTTCAAAAGTTGTAGTTTTATCTTCGCCAAGTTCAGATTTTCTCTCAACATCAAGAAAGCCAACTTCTGTAAGACCTTGCATGTACCTTTCTGGCCTCCAGTCACCATGACTTAAGAAACCCCTGTTGTCTGCTGCCACCAGTTTTTCTAATATATATACAGTAACCATCATACCTCCAGGTTTCAGGACACGGTAAAGTTCTTTGGAGGCAGCATTCATATCAGGCCAAAAATAGTAACAGTTGGTGTGAAAAATTCTGTCCATAGAGGCATCTTGGAATGGCAGTGAAACGACATCACCAAGCCTGACATCTGCTTTGCCTTGCTTGATATCTTCAGACAGTCGCCCAGTTGTTTCATCCACCATAGATTGTGAAAAATCAATGCCATACACCTTTCCTGTGCCTGTCAAATCAATGAAATAAATTTGTCAAAAAAATTAATTGGAAGATCAAACAATTTAATAAATAATTAATAAATCAATGTTTCTATATAGTGGTTTGGCGCACTGGGAACGGTTTGGTTTCCCAAACTTGAGGTCAAGGTTTTAATACTTCACTGTCCATTTCGCTTACAGCACGTCCTTGTGCAAGGAAATTTATCTCCATGACTTCAAACAACCCAAGAGTATAAATGGCTACATGGTGGTGTTGTTTAAATATAAATATTATTAATATAAATAACCGAATAGAATAAAAGAAATATAACTTTGACATGGTTCAACAACATAGGAAGGACTTAAAATTCATGGACAAAGTGACATTTATGACCAGATATAGTCCAATTTACTAATATGTTGATTTTTGTTACATGGGATATAAGTACACTAAATCAGTGCTGCATTTTATAGACCTTGATTGGCTGATAATTTCAGTGACAATGTTATTTCTTTATCAAAGTAGTGCTCTTTCTGAAAAAGTCAATATTATGAAATCTTAATTTGGAAATTAAAATGGTCATGAGACATTTCTCCTTGGCTTTGTTAAGGATTTGTAGAATATACATGAAGCTTTTAATGTCGTTTTTAAAATGTTACCGTAATTGTTTATATTGTAAACTTGTTTTTTGTTTTTATTGATATTTAATGGACCATCGGAAATAAGCCTACATTCTTGTGGCTTTTTGGGTTATCCTGTACTCATGGTTGTTTTTTAATGTCCGCTACCTTGCAGGTTTGTAGTTTTTTTTAATTACAAATAATGAATGAAAACAATGAATGAATACGAAACACAGATAAATGCCTTAATCAAGAAAATAATTAATACTCTCAAACCAGACAGCAGTATACATAAGTACACATAATGGCGCAATGAATTCGTCAATATTTTATTTTATTGACTATTTTTTCCTTTCTTTTTTTTTTTTGGCTTTTTTTTTGTTCGGGCAGCCCTACACCTGTCTCTTATACACATCTAGATGTGTATAAGAGACAGCCTCCGTGGTCTAATGGTTATGATGCTCGCCTTGACAGCGAGAG